GCAGACACCTGTCAGAAAGGAATTTATTTAAAAAAAAAAAAAAGAGAGAAAAGTAATCTGTCTCTTCTGTCGGAATAACATCCACAAAATAGATTAAGAACAGGATTTTTAATCCTGTTGATTTACTCAGTATTAATCTACAGTTTTCATTTTATGGCAGCAAAAAATAATTACAAGTAACAGCACATTTAATTCCAGAAATGAAATGTGTTAGTGTTTCAGAACAAACTTGAGTTTTCAGGGTCCTATTGCCAGGGGGAGACTGCAGTGGACAAGTCAGAGGAAACCCTGGACATAGGCTCTGGTATGAACTGTGTAGCTGTGTGGGCAATCACCCCAAGGAGAATAATTTTAGGTGCAGGAACTCTTGTCCCTAACCATCCTGGCAGAAAGTGGCTAATGAGCTCTTCCTATGAGCAGGAAGAACATTTTCATCGTGCTGTCTAAAACAGAAGTCATAAATAGACAACACTTGCCTAAGTGTGGGAAAAAACCTTCTAGACAATAGGCCCAGCATCACTTGTATCCTTTGCTTTCATGTTTATAACCAGAAGGAGCCGACTGAAACAGAAAGGCAACAATACAAGGTGCCAGGTTTCACCCTTTTGAATCCAGCAACACAACTAGGCCATATTTAAAACAAAATGCTCCAAAGAAGCCACCGCTTTTTGGAAGTTAGATAAAAAATTACTTCTGCTGTTGAAAACATATACTTAATTTGTTCAATCTCCAGACACTAGTTCTTACTGGTGTTTTCCCCACTAAACCAAAAACCTCTTTTAACAGAGGGGTGGGTGGTAGGTTTTTTTAATTGTTTGTTTCAGTTTTTTCTTCTTTTCTATCTAGGACTATGTCAGACATGATAAAGCTCTCTTCCCAGACTTATTTTACTTTTGTATCCCTTTTTGTCTTCCTCACCCCAATCCCATTCACAATGGCCTCACAATTTGTCCACCTATTTGAAAAAAAAATAGCATACACTCCGTTAGAAAACAAAATCAGCTCCTCTCCAGAACCTTTTGGAACAAACAAATTAAGCATTTGAAGTTATTTTACTGTATTACTATCATCTGGGAAAGATCATATGTATCATTATCATCAGCTGTACGTATCATCACCAAACCTGCACTCATTAGTCTATCAATTGTATGCTGTTGAGATGTGGATGCCAGAATTAGCCAGGCTCACACCTAACAAGCAGTTAGCTTAGTGGCACATTTTAGATGCTGATTCATACAGAAAAATGTTAAGCCCATCAGATACATTTCCTCACATCACCTCCTTTCCCCTTCTAATATCAAATGGATAACAACGTTTGATGTTTTACCTCATCCTGCTGTCAGCAATTTGAAGAGTATTGAAAAATAAGAAATACTTCAGAATAATGCACTAAAGTATAATAGTCTAGGAAGCCTACCTTACATAGATATTGTGTGTCTAACTTATAAAATTATACACTAAAAAGCTGTCTGACTGTATTTTGAAAGTATCTCGTAAGTATCTGCCTCTCCAAAGGTCAGTATTACAAGGGAAAGCTAAACAAATAAGCTTATTTAAATAAAGAATTCCACTTTGCAGGCATAAGATTAAAAGAAAGATTATGAACTGATTTGAAAAAATGAAAAGAAAAAAAATCAAGAATTAGGACACAAAAATAAAAAACTTTGTGATTAAAAGGAGAACAGAAGATAAGGGGTTTCAAAACAGTTCAGTCCCTTCAAAGAGTAGTAGAGCATGACTATATTTCAGAGCAACAATTGGATTTGGTGGAATCTATAGGAAGCAGTCTGTGAAAGATGCTCGCAATTTGGTCTTGTAAGTATTAGAAGAAACATACTATTTGTATTTGCTCATTAGAAGCTTATTAATTCTTAGCTAGTAATCCGCAATTGTTTCACCTTTACTGCAACTCAAGACTGAACTCTGAGCATGGACCTAACTCTGCGTAAGCTATGTCCAGGGAGCAAATCAAGCATGCTCTCTTCCAGGGCAAAGTCAAATTTCCCCTGTAATTGCTTACCCAAAGAAGCATGAGATGCAGTAGTAAACTAAATGGACAGAACTGCTCCTCTGCACTCAGAGACCATCCTACTATCAGCTACCGCATGGGACAGAAACCGTGCAATTCAAACACAGAGGTATCAAAGATGATCCTCTGAAGTTGCATCAGAGAACTTGATATGGACAGGAGGCTGGCAGGAAGAAAAGCAACTACCAAGACAAGGTATACCAAGTCTGTAAAACAAAGCTGGGAAAAAAGCCAGCAAGAGCCAGTCTGGTGTAAGTTTTAAGATAAGATAAAGGGGAGGAGAAAGAGGGAGACATCAGCTACACAAGGCAAGAGACCAGGGTTGAAGTCCAGGAAGACAGACTAGAATTCAACAAGGAAACATACCAGTTATCTATGAACAACAGAGCTAGCAGCAAGGAGCTAATAATGGTAGACAAGGGAGAGTAGTGCCTTTTTGTTTCATGGGAACTTTGCCTAGAGCATACTCCCTTTCCGTAAGAAATGGGGAAAAAATTCAGGCATGAAGTACCAAGCTGTCCACTGGTGGACTCTCACTTCCTTTTAAAGTGCCTGTACCTATCACTTTCTCCTCAAACACCTGCTCATATGTTAGAGAGCTCCTCAATCAATCTTCCTAGACACCTAATGTTAACTGTGGGAAATAGTGTTGATAATGAAGTTTTTTGTTTTCTTTTTAAAATTACTACAGTTGCTCAGTCAATTAGTCAGGAGTTAGAAAATAAGATCACGGTTGCCTCTGCAATGTTAGTTCAGTCCCCATATTTTTATGCATCATAACAGCATTTACACACAGCAATACTCCCACACAGCGCTGCAGATTAAGGTATTTGCCTTTAAGATGCCTGCCTTACTCCTGGCACAAGATAAATGACATTCACTTACAGTACACTGTTCAAGATTTTCACTAGCCTTTCCAGCAACTTCAGTACTTAAGAACTTAGAACACCATTCTTCCTCACACCCATCTCACTACATCCGAGTAAAAGCTATCATTCCACCTCACTGCACACAAGCAGTATCAGTACAGGACAGACCACTCAATGCCTGGAACTTCTGTGCTTTCTATGCTCAGCCATTTTTTTTTTTTTTTTTTATCATGTATTCCTGTTTTAATCATGTATTCCTAACAGTTACAGTTAATTACTAGCATCTGTATTAAATAGTTCCTGTTTAATCCCAGCCTGCAGTTCAGCTGTATGCAGCATGGACAGATAAAGGAGCTGCCCAAGTCACAGCTAGGCAGTTCAGTTAGGCACTGAACATATATTTATAAGACATATGCAGAAACTGCACCATCTGAATGTGAGATAACTCCTTCTATCTGTCAGGTTTAAAAAAAAAAAAAAAAATCACAAAAAGAGGTTGTGGCCTGAATAACTCTGAACACTGCAGAAGCAAGTCCTGAGAATATATGTGCAAGAAAAATAGGGATACCAACGAAGTCAATTTTAGAAGAATCCAAGCAAGAGTCCTTTGAGACAAGACTTCTTGCAGCCTCACAATTGCTCACCAACAGAAATACCCTTTCTTTTGTCATCAAAGAATTCCCAACAGTGTAATCTGCCCTCCTTACATACCTGTGGAAGACAGTCAGGACGGGACTCAAAGATCACAAGAAGGACGCCAATAGGCACTGTCACCTGCTCCAAATCCAGGTCTTTTGCTATTCGTGTTCGCCGAATTACACGGCCGACGCTGTCCTGTGAGGATGCTGCAATCTGACGCAGACCAATAGCCAAGCTGTTCAGCTTTGACGTAGACAGACTTAGACGTTTCAACAAAGGAAGTGCCAATCTCCCTAAAAGAAGGAAAAAATTGTGCTGGAGATAGATTGGTCTGCGTAGGCTCAAGCAAAAGCATCTTAAACAAGTGGTGAACTTAATGAAAATTCGGATATTTCCCACGCCCTAGCAAGAAACCGAGATGAAAAATGCACAGCATTAAGTCTGGTAGCCACAATAAAACCACTCAAATATGACAATGATTTCACCCACCACCACATTTTCACTTAATGTGGTTTAAGTGATTTATACATGAAGCAACATCAACATCCACAAAGACAAGGTTTGCCCTGTTTCAAGTACTGTAATATGTCTGAATTTCTTACAAATTTCTACCCTTGCAGTATTTCTGGAAGGTTCAGGCAGTAATTTCATCTTTCTGTTTTACAGCTAGAAATCCCAAAGCACAGAGGCATGCATAGCATTTCTGTTCAGATTGGGGAAGAACTACCTGAATTTTCTAGTCTGAACACATTCAGACAGTAAGTTAACCTAGCAATGTCCCCTCAAGTACTCTGGTCAGTAAAAAACAGTTCCCTGGCATCTTCCACAAAGTATTACAATTCATGATGTGTCATTTTCATACATTTGCTATCCCTGTATGTACACATCCCAATCCCAACTTCTCAATGAATGCATCAATCTAACAGAAGAATGGGTTTAATCCAAGCCACCTAAAGAGAACCTTCCTCAATCAGAAGGGGACACGGTTCTTTCTGGAGGGCATCAATTTAAGTATAGAGATGACAGCCTTCCCCTCAGGAGCCAAACATTCTCTTAACCAGCCCAGAAAAATATTCACTTTATGCATGACAATAACAGAGATTATGTTTGTTATATTCCATTTCTAAAGTGAGCCTCCTTTGGCAAAATGGAGCACTTTTTTTTTTTTTTACACAATACACTGTTTGTTGTTTTGCAAGGCCTCAGTGTCTTCTCTGATGAAGGCATCTGTTTTATGTAATTAAGGAAGCTGCAGCTGCTTACACTGACAAGCTCTCAAGGTCCTGGGTTCACTAATCTGTGACAGCCAAACTACCCAATCCCAGGTGACAGAAGATTCTAGTTCTGCTCATTTCCTTCGAGGCCCAGAGAGGTTCAAGACAATAGGATTACCATGGAAGGACTTGAAATATTACCTTTATTTTCAGCCTCTTCTAAGTCCTTTTTGTTTGCCAAGAGAATTTCTTCTCTCTGGTCAGTTAGTAAGTCAGCAAGACGATAAATAATCTCCGCTCTCTGAAAAAGAAAACAGTTTCTGAACTGACTTCTTACACAAAGTCCATGCTATTTGACATCTGATCCCCTTCAGTCCATTTATATTGACCACATCCTCTTACTGTCTTGACTCCCCAAATACTTGAGGCCAGCTGATTTTTCCAGCCTGCATCACATTGAAAAAGGAGGCTGAACGTTGCTTCAACCTCTACTTTGCTTTTTATTATCTTGCTTTCAATGCCCAGTCTTGTTCACCAAACCCGCAATGTTCTTCCTTTAAGACCACCTTGTCTTCTTCACAACGGATGCCTCATTTTACCTATTCACCTGCAGAGCAGTGACTTATTGTCTACAGCTCCTCTTTTGCATACGCTACACACAGGAGTGAATGGAGCAAATTACTCCAGTCAATTCTTCAGCAGCTCTGATCACAATTTATTTCTGTGTGATATTTGACGCTATTAAAAATTTTATAAACCTCACATGAAAGCTCATATTGCTTTGTACAGCCCTGCTGTACATTATCTTTCTGCGTTTCTCATCTCTTTATACAATCCAAATGATTGATCTGGCACACAAAGAATAGATTCTTGTCCCAAGGGGCCCATCTGTGTTATAAATCCGTGTTGTAAAACTTGCCACACATTCAGAAGCTTAACAAGTGAGGACATATTGTTCTGTCACCTGCTCAGGCTGTAGAGCCGCAAGGGTCCTGCCACCAGCTCGAGCCATTTCACCCTGCTGCTCTACTGTAGGACCTGCAAAAAAACCCAAAATATGCCATGCAAAGTAACAGCACATGTGGAAGTGAACACTAGACCCTCCATCTCCTGATTCTTTGCTCAAAGCAGGAAAACAGGTACAGAGTCTTAAACAGACATATTCAAGAAATCCGTTGTATGCTAAAACATACAACATACAGGAAAATCTGTACGTGACACAAAAATACTGCTATGGTCCCCAAAAGTGAAGAGTCATCACAGAGATTCTGTGAGGTCACCATGTCAGAGGCAAGTGCACACCATGTATCAAAAAGAGTTGACAAAGGGCAAAAGAACACCAGGATAGCTAAGTCTCAGGGCATGGTAGGCTACTGAAAGAAAGGAGGCAAACTTTGAAAAGTTTAAGCATCCAACTGAGGAAAACAGAAAGGATTACAAAATAGCATGGGAATGTACAAACGATAATGGAAACCAAAACCTAATCTGAGTAACAGCTCACAGAAGAATTGCTTTTCCTCTGTCTCTCCCTATGTGCATTTTAGAAGGGTTCCTATAGAAAAGTGTGGGGTTTTTTTCTTTTTTTTCTGGCAGGACCTCAAAGAATCTGTCTCAAACTGAAATGATATGGAACAGGTTACTTCTCTTTCTATTTCAAAACAAGTCACCAGGTTCAGGTAGCATTTCCCCAAAGAGTTCGCAAGTAGCTTATGGATGAACTAAGTTGTGATTTTTAACTGTCCTGAAATTGCCTGTAAAACAGATGACTTGAAGGTGATAAATATGACCCAACTTCTATTTAAGAAGGGTCCCATGGAAATTGCCAGAGCAGGAATTCCAATGTTATGGAAAATATCAAGAGGTATAGTGGGAAGTGTAAGAAAAGAACTTGTGGACACATGATTAATTAGACTTATTTAAGAAGTGTTAAAACAGCTTTTTGAAGTGAAGTCATACTTTACAAAGTATATGTTTTGGTGTTCTTTGAGAAGAGTGACATGTATGTAAGCAGATACAGTTGATTTTAAAAAGTTCCTTGAATTTCAAAAGCGTGTTCTTTGGAAGACAGAAGACAAATTGCCACAATAGCAGAAGAGTGCCAGTAAAATTCCACAGGGACTTCTGCCGTTTGCTGTATTTGTAAGTGACTCAGAATGGGGTCACAAGGTTTGTATCAGCTTTACTGCTGATACAAATTTATTATAGTGAGACTAACCGAAAAGTGTCACTAACACACTTTTTCCTAGAAAGCAGCTTTACAGAGGAGGACCCAGGGGTCCTGGTGGACACCAAGTTGAACACAAGCCAGCAGCATGCCCTTGCTGCAAAGGTGACTAACAGTGTCCTGGGCTGCCTTAGGAGGAGGGTTGACCACAGGTGGAGGGAGGTGATCCTTCCCCTCTACTCAGCACTGGTGAGGCCACACCTGGACTACTGTGCCCAGTTCTGGGCTCCCCAGTGTGAGAGAGACATGGACACGGTGGAGAGAGTCCAACAAAGGGCCGCAAAGATGAAGAAGGGGCTAGAGCACCTCTCGTATGAGGAAAGGCTGAGCGAGCTGGGACTCTTTAGCCTGGAGAAGAAGGCTCGGGTAGATATCATCAGTATGTACAAATACCTGAAGGGAGGGTGTAAAGAGGATGGAGACAGGCTCTTTTCAGTGGTGTCCAGTGACAGGACAAGAGGCAATGGACACAAACTGAAACACAGGAGGTGCCTCCCATTAGGAAGTACTTTTGCACCATGAGGATGATCAAGCACTGGCATAGGTTGCCCAGGGAGGTTGTGGAGTCTCCATTCTTGGAGATATTCAAAAGCTGTCTGGACACAGTCCTGAGCAACCTGTTTGAGCAGGGGGTAGGACCAGATGACCCTGCCATCTGTCATACTGTCCCTTCCAACCTCAGCCATTTGGCAATTCTGCGATTTCCTCTGCAGCCAAGTCACTAGGCCACAAGACAGCAAGTGTTAATTCAAACCAGATAAACATGAAGCAATGTAGAGGGGGAAAAGGAAAATCAGTCCTTAGTATTGTAACAAATAATACTATGAAAACATCATTTCAGTGAACATCAACATCAAAAAGCAAATTAAATGTTTGGAATTATTAGAAAAGGCCTAGAGAACATAATAGAAAACATCATCAATCTTATCAAAACTCAGTCCTGCCATCTTATAAATTAAAGCTTCAATTGCATCTTGAATGCTATGTGAAATTTTGATTTTTGCCCATCTCAAAAAGGCCACAAAAGAATGAAAACAGTTTCGAACAAGAGAAATGGCAATGACCAAGTTTTTGGAAAAACTTTGGTACAAAATGTCTAAGACCAAACCTCTTTCATGTGGAAGAGAGATGATGAGGGGAAAGATGATGTCTCACATCTTCGAAGTTAAACAGGGGTTGATTGCCCATACAGGCAGTAGGGGCATCAAATGAAGCTATCAAGAAGAAAATTCAAAACCTTCTCCACCACCCCAACTCCAAACTAAAGCAAGCAGTTCTTCACATAGTTCTAGCTCCAGAGTTTACACACAGGATCTAGTTAAGGCTAGATTGTGACTATCGTGACACAGAGCCCTGCGGATGCTAAGTCTTTACATAGGTTCAAAGAATGATTCAACAAATTCATACAAGAAATGCATTGAGGATTATTATACACAAAGAAATTTGTTTGGCTTAAAGCGCAAGTCAAAAGTATCACTCCATACTTGTCCTATTCTGCTAAGGTCACGGATCTTTGGCTTGACTTTCTCCAGCAGCTGTTACACCATCCCAGCAATGCAGTGGCAGGAAAACATTCCTACCCACCATACCAGAAGACTGAGTTGTAAAAGGAGTTTATGATAAGAAGTAAAACTAAACACTATCTTAGTTCAGCAGCACATTCTATGTCTACATTTTCACACTGAAATCTTCAATACTAGATGATAACCCCTAAGACTAAAAAAGGTAAAAATTCTACTCATTGCATTCTTCAAATGCAAGTCTGATGCAGCAGTTTATCAGCTGGAGGGAACCAGAGCAGAGGATTCAACATTTTCTATTCCTACTTTCGAAAATACCTTTCAAAATCCATTTTTCAAGCACAGTGTGGTTTCCCAGTTATTGTACAGGTCTAGCCAAATTTTAACTCTAACCTTTTGTGAAATCTCTACAACTCTCAATGTACACATTACCTCTGTACTCACCTGCAGGTTTTACCTCTGAAAAAAAAGTTCCAACTTTTTTCCCTTCCACAATATCTGTGATGACATGACCCGAGATCTTTGGGTGGGTTCCATTTGCAATCACTACAGAGGTGCCGCCTTGGAGGGCCCACAGAGCTGCTTTCACCTACAGTGAAGGATAGAGCCATTTCCAGGAAATTCACTTGTTATTTGAGTCATCACTCTCAACAAGACTTATTGCTCCACTTTGATCTCCAGAATGATCACTTATGCTTTCAAAAAGCATTTAACACACTTCAGGAATTTCCATAATATAGCATTGAATGAGAACATGTATTTGCGCTCTACCCTCCCTTCCTTAACTAGCTGCCACTTTATGAGCGTACTTCAACTTTTCCTAACAGCCTGCTTTTTTCAAGACTTCTGCAAGGGCACTTTGGTCATATGTTCTTTTTCGCCATTACTTTATGTTGCAAGTTCTTGTTACTGTTTGAAGAAACCCACTTTTCTTTTTTGAAAAGATTCTGTTGCCTATTTCCCTGACATTGATTAGCCATCAATAATTAATCCACTTTAAGTGACCACATGATATTACTTCCACTGCGGAGCACTCTTCTTGCTCAGGTCCTAGCCATTACCATATAACATTAAAATATTATTCAATACCTTTAGCTGTCTGAATTACTCCCTTAAAGTTTGATCAGCCTAAGCACTCCTTGTGGGTCTGCTTAAGATGTAGAGGTATTCTCATTGTTTATAACCCTTTGGTGAAGCTATGAAGTTTGCTGAAGAGTTACTCGGGTTTCCACACAAAGTTTTTACTTACTTTGTTCACATTTCCTATTCATGTTCTCATGGGATTTTTTATTTTTTTGCTTCTAATTTTTGCTTGGGAGTACACCTATTGTCTTAATAGTTGTTTCTTTCAGTAGGCTCTATTTGAAGACTTTGCACTTCTTCAGTTTTGAATTATATGATTTTATTTGGCATTCTTCCCCCTTTTTGTTGTTATTTTGGAGGAGGATTCTATAAGTAGAGCATTTAGGAGTCATCTTCAAAGGTCAGGACCTCAGCGTACTAAGCAATGCATAGCAGCAACACGCGTAAGATCTAAGGCAAGAAGGAAGTCTGGAACAAGAACAATCTGATGTCCACAGACAGATGGGAACTGAAATCAATGATACTACCAGATCACCTGTGTGCTGAAGGCTGTCATGGAGAGTGGGTGGGGAGACAGGCATCATGATCAACAAGAACTGTATGAAATTTAGGGGCAATATCTTTGTAGGCATTGCCCTAACATGAAGGGCAACATGAGTTCCCTTTCTGAACTTCAGTGTTGGCATACTCAAGTTTGCTTAGTCCTTCTACAGAATGTTAAGCTTAGAGCAGGATTACCTTATTAGTAAGGGTCCTTTGAAATCCCCATGTACTGATTAGTCCTAAGATTAGCCTCTTTCCACACACCTGAGCCACTGTTTAAGGCATCACAACATGATTTCTCTAAAATTTCCCCCCCTCCAACATTTCACTGGTCCATACCAAAATACAAAAACACAAACCCAAATCCCAGATGTTACCTGCTGAAGAGGTACTGCCTATGGTCTCCTTTGTTTCTCTTCCCGACCAAGGTATGGGCAGCATTATCCCACCACTATATTTAATTACGTGTCATTTATTTTACTGCAAAAGCTTCTCTGCTTCCTCACTTCTACACTTTCCTAATATGGTTCTACAATTAGGTATTACGGTCCATACTCACTGGGAGACACAACCTGTCAGATATACCTATCACATCAAACTCTTGACTACCACAAGACCATCAACTGCTCCATTTTTGCTCAAGTTTCATGCTGATAATCAAGATTTGTACTTTGATCTACCATCTGTTTGTTCTATTATTGATGTGACAGTTTTCCAGAAATATCATGCAATTCTCAACTGTAACAAATTTTTGTTACAACAGCAGCATTGAGATTTGCCTCTATGTGACTCAGATTTAAAGATACCAAATATCTCTAACATTGTTATTTTTACAATACAAGTACTCCCTGACCTTAGCAGCTTTCCCCTTATGGGGGGATGAATACCTGGATTCATTTAAACTATTCCAGAAGCCAGATCAAGGGAAAGTTGTTTCTAAATAAGCTCTGTACATCCCATTAATTACAAATACAACACTCAAATGCCTCCTCCTTTTGCCACCTTCCAATCCACGCTCTGATACTGAAGTATGCCTTACCTGATTCTTCAGAAAAGGAAATAAAACATAAAATAACTGGTGAAGAATTTCACTTTGGTCTTTCCCTGCTTAGTCAAAATCTACTTCAGTTTTCACAGACAACCTTCCAAAAGTGTCCTTAGGAAACCTGCACCAATTAATACTACCGTAGTGCATATCCCTGCACCATGAGAGACATATGCTGAAGTCTCACACCACACCCATGTTTATGCCCTCACAGCAATGAATACTGAGGGCATCCAGCTGTACACAGTACTAGAAACCATCAGCCCTCCTACCTCTACTAATCTTGTACTCAAGAACTAAAGTACCTTGGTCTGCACCAATATATCCTTCAGAAGGAAACAGCACATGTACAAGCTCAGAAAGGAGACAGAGGTATCATATCAGACTCAAGTGACAGGGATTCCCTTTGGATTATCACATAAGAAAGAAGTGAGGAACGACTCTTATTTTAATTTAAAACACCAAAATACAGTTCCAAATGTCACATTTTACAAACTACTGGAATGTAATTCATTAGTTGCTCTTTTCAATCCACATAGACTTAAGAGAGAAGCTAAAGGAACCCATACACCGTTCCAGGGTACTCAAAGAATAGCTGAGACTGGAAAGGATCTCTAGAGATCATATAATCCAACTACCTGCTCAAGGCATGGTCAACTAGAGCAAGTTACTCAAGACACCATCCAGTCAGGTTTTGAACATCTCCAAACACTGAGATTCCACAAGCTCTCTCTGCAACCTGCTCCAATGCCTCAGCAACCTCACCGTAAAATTCCTACATTTCAATTTAATTTCTTGTATTTCAGTCTGTGCCCATTGCCTCTTGTCTGTTCCCTGGATACCACTGAGAAGAGTCTGGCTCTGTCTTCTCTACACCCTCCCTTCAGGTATTTACACACAAACTTTCTCTTCTCCGGGGTAAACATCCCTAGCTCTCAGCCTCTCCTAGCGTGACAGATGCTCCAATTCTTTAATCATATTCATGGCTCTCCATTAGATTCACTGTAGTATGCCATGTCCTTCTTGTACTGTGGTGTCCAGAACCAGACACAACTCTACAGATGTGGTCTCACTAGTGCTGAGTAGAGGGAAATAATAATTTCCCTCAACCTGCTGGCTATGTTCTTTCTAATGCAATCCAGGATGCTGTTGGCCTGCTTTGCCCAAAGGGCATATTGCTAGCTCACGTTCCACTTGGTGTCTACCAGGACCCCTACAGCCTTTTCAGCGAACCTGCTTTCCAGCCAGTCAACTCCACAGCCCATACCAGTGAATGGAGCTGTTCCTCCCTAGGGATAGGACTCGGCATTTCCCGTTATTGAACTCCATAAGGTTCCTGTCTGCCCATTTCTGCAACCTGTCAAGATCCATCTGAATGGCAGCACAATCACCTCACCTATCTTCCTTTCCCACATCTCCCTTTCCTTCCCAATAACAAATGTTCCATATTTCTACCTTGGCTTCCATGCCTCCCATTCCCACCCGGGATTTGGTTCCAAATGTTACAGACTGCTGGTCTCCTGGGTAGAATATGTCAATGAGCTTTGCATCATCAGATCCTGGAGGGCTGTCAAAGAGTCCTGAAATGAAAAATAAAAATCTGTTAGTGTTATATACCCTCATCTCCAAAGCTCACTCATGAAAAAGAAGAAAAAAAAAATTCCATGAGGCTGAAAAGCTGTACTCCACTTTACAGGATTGAAAAGTTTCACTGAACCCTGCTTTTTGTGTGACTGAAAGCACGAAACACTTAACAGGCAGACTCAAGAAGTATAGCTTTACCAAAAGCATAACGAATAAGAAACCAAAAACCCACATGCTGAATAGCAGCATGCAAGCTGGGAGGTAGTGACATTTGGTTGAGGTTACAGAGACAGTTTCCAGCTTTTATATGTTCAAAATCAGGGCTTACATATACAAGCCCACAACTGAACAGGCAAAGGGTAGTCCTCCTCACCAAAATCTCAGAGGATATTCTTGAATGCTGGGTTGTACAGTGATAAACTGGGCAATTCAGAAATATGTAAAAAGGGTAACAATTGAATTCTGCTAAAAAGGAACTCAACACTACAGAGACATACTCTTAATTTTTTTTTAAATCTAATAATTTTATGTAACTATGTTTGGAGTTGAATGATGCTTTGGTTTACCTAACACATTAAACCTAAACTCTACCACCACACATTCCAGAAATTCTATGTGAACAAATACTGGTATTACAAATTAGAGAGCACAAGTGCAGACTATCTGTGTCCTTCCTTGATAGCTTGGGAAGGAGAGGACACACATCTTTCTATAAACAAGATGTCGCATTGAATGAATAAGCTTGGAGGATGGGGGTCTTGGGTATTAATTTTTTTTACAAGTTCTCAGACAGTCATTTCAACTGGAATCAACCATGAAATCCAGCTGAATCTGCTAAAAGAAACTGTGTTTATGGAAAGGCATCTCCTTCCTTCTCAGGGCCTACAATATGTGCCAAAGCCCAGGATCCACTGCAAGAAACCCATCTGGAAAAGATGAAAAGACTATGTGACTTGGGTGATTATGGACTGCACTGATCTGAAACTGCAGCCACTACCCTCCTCTCTCTAGAAAAGGAACTTCAACATCCATAGGTGACAGACATGTCACAGCAGCACAGCTCAGAAGACTAGAGCAGTGTAAGCCAAATGTCTGGGAGACAGAAAAAGCTAGCAACTTCCAGGTATCTGGAAGGCAGTGACCAGGCCTTGTAATGTACCTGTACTTCACTGAAAGACAGAACCTGCTGCCAGAAGAAACAAACTATTGTAGAATAGTATTTGGCTTATACTCCTGATTCTAAACAGATAGCCTTTATCCTGCATATTACTCATGACTATATCATACAATTCTGAGAAGCTAGCAGAAGTACCATAGTGCATATGGTATTCTGGGTTCTGGAACAAGTCTCAAGTTCACGTGCATTCTCACCCACCCAGATTCAACAGTGTGGCAGACAGTCTTTGGCTTATGCAACAGCATCAGCATTGGGTATATGCCTTAAGGAGTTATGTGGTACGTTGTAATTGTCCCTGTAAAAGATATGAACTGAAGAGATCAGTAAAACTTGAATACAGGTTGGTTTGACTATCTGATGTACTTCAATAAAACAAGAAAGTAAAGAAATTACTCACAAACCTTCTACATCTGAGAGAACAATCAGGAGATCAGTTTTCATTTCCACAGCCAGTCGTGCTGCCAGACTGTCGTTATCCTTCACACTAATCACCTGCAATGCACATGCATATCAGCAGCACTGAATAGTGGGAGGAACTAGGAAATACTTGGCTGCAACATACAAAAGCAAGCTACCGCAGCACTACCAAGTCCTTCTGAGCTACTTTGTTCACCCCCACTGGAAGCTTAGAAGGCGATCTTTGATACGCTTTTGGAACGCAGTAAAGTGGTATCAAAATGACAAGCAGTGTGATCAGTACCTGCATTCTCCACCTTGGTGCCCAGTGACAGGACAAGAGGTACTAACTGACCCTGCTTTAATCAGGGGTGCTGGACTAGACGACCTGCAGAAGTCCCTTCCAACTTCAACTGTTCAGTGAAAACCAAACTGGGCATGCTTGCTTTTGGCAGAGCAGACATCATCTGCCCTGCTTCTACTCCACAGCACTGTGTCATGCCAGAAACAGACAGGTCAGCACAGTCTTCCAGCACTCTCTGTCCACGTTACTAATTTTGTATGTTTGTTTCCCTGCTGCAGGCTTCAGAGGTCCCTGATTATGGCACTAGTGAAGTACACATTACTGCTGTACCATCTACAAGCAGGATCCACCCCCTTGCAATACTTTACCCACATTTACCCCCTGCAGATCACTGTTTGGCTCTGGAGGTGGAACAACAGCATCATTAGTGTTAATTATAGGGACAATATTCATTCTTAAGAGCTCATGCAATGTCCCATTTAAGTTCCGACGCTTCTGTTCATCATGGAAATCCAGGTTGGTGACTAAAATCTAAAAGGAGGAAAAAAATTAATATATACTTAGCCTACCACTTTTCCTGAGAAGAAAACAAAGCAGAACATAGATGCTGATAATAACTACTAAGACCCTAAACAATTCAATAGATTACTCAAGACACTGCCTTTCCTGTTTTCCCTCCCAGTGTAATGTTTCTACCATTGCAAGCAGAAGGCATGCTTTGTCTCAAGACTTCTCTTCAGCTCTAGAAGAATCTTGGTCTTAAAGCCTCCTGCATGCAGACGCCACCCCTTTCTTTTTGGTATTTTAAGACAAAAAACCTCAATGTCTGCTCTGAAGAGACCTTTTTTTCATTTTTACTCCGCCATTGAACATTTGAGAACTAAGCAAACAACTCTACCACACAAATGTTACAATAGCACTTGGAATCAATGTGTACACTGACTTTTTTGGCACGGGCAATTAATTCTTTTAAATTGAAGGAATTATAGTTGTCTGCAGACTTGAACAAGATTTTAATCCAGCGCAACCTATAATGATTGTTAGCTATACTGTAAACATTTTAGTGATATCAGCTATACTATATTACAGGAAGAAGTTCCTCCAAGCGAGACTTCATACTAAGCTCTTAAATTCATTAAAAGTGTCTAAACAAATAAGGCCTTACAGTTGATGCAATTCTGTATTCTCAAGAGTATTTAAGATAAGCAAAGTGTCTTTCAAAGTAGTTCAATTAATACAGTTGCAGCATTCAGTATAGGCAGAAGACCCAGGCTAGGGATACCATCACCCACAAGTTAGAAAAGTTTGAGGAGCAGATGGACAGCAAGTTCTGAAGTATGGATATGCACTTCTGTCAGCTTTACAGAATGTGTGGCAGTTCAGCCACTTGTGATTTTTAAACCCCCACTTTGGATCACCAGCTTTACCTTTTGTGAAGAGACCTTAACAGACCCCTCCCCCCCGTACATCAGAGCAGGACACACACGAACTCCAAAAAGAAAAAGCCTATTTGCTTCACCTTGACGATAGATAACTCCATTTCAGAAATCCTTAGCAAGGCACTCCTGTATAAGCTACCATTTACGCTACAATAATAAGCCCCAGAAGTAGGATGGCAATGGAAATGCAAGACTACAGTAAAGATAGCAGCATATAAAACATGGAAAAAATCCAAGAACAATTCCATCGCTGACTGAAGTAGCAAGTCAGTCTAGGAAAGAAGGAATCCTTTACTTGAGCTGCACAGATGCTGTACTGCGTAAACATGGCCTCATACAGAGCCATTAGTCCACTCTGGCCAGCTGCTGCACAGGCTCGGGCCTCCAATACTGGAATAGCCTACAAAGATAAAGAACAGGCATTGACTTGAGCAGGTACTACCCAACGTTCAAGGAAAAGCGGGAGTGCCCCCAGCCACTCACCATATCTTTTAGCTGACTCTGGCCTGAATGAAGTGCTTGCCTCACACTCTGAGAAAGCAAGATCTCATGACGCAACCGCTGCTTTCCAAAAGCTACAGCACCGCTGGTGACAATCATCATCTCTCGGCCCTGATTTTGCAGCATTGACACCTGTAAGTACAGAACATAAAAAACAGGGGCTGGAGTATGATCACGGCTAGCATGACAGTTCTGGCTATTATAGACAACCTTATGCTCACCAGTTCTTGCAGACACAAGTGTTTTGCTTTATCCATGGATGTGCAAAGCAAGGCAACCACCCTCTAAGATACTCCTGCACACCTTCCTAGGCACTTAGGAGCTATGCAAAGGACTGTCTGCAACCTGTAGCTTTGGCTAAACTTTCTTTTCATAATACCAGTTTTTATGACAGAGTCATGCTTGAATTTTAACAATACATATTACATGGTAATACTTCTATGCCCCTCGCCTTTCCACCTCCATTGCTACAGATAAGGAAAGATAAGACATGAAAAAGCTGTAAAGTAGCAGCTGTACCTTCCACTAACCTTCTTATTCACCATCCATTCCCAAAGCTGCCATTATACTGTAACTTCGTATTCTAGAAGTGAAGAAGCTAACTCCAATAGTACAGCTTTTAATTACTTCTTCCTTACATGCATCTGGCCAGATTCCTTTCAAAGCTCTAAAGCTAAATGTCTTACATGAATTTAATTTATTATGTTAACTTTACTTCCCAGAGAAAACATGTCCAATCCCCCCCAAAGTCATAACTTCATTTTGGAGAACCAATCCATGAGTTGATCCCATCAGTTTTTCCTACAAGTAATGAGGTTTCAAGCTTTCTCCTGGAGAAAATCTGCAAATGCTCAGATAATCAGGAAGGGTCTACTCTTTCTGCAGACTTCACAAACTTCAGTGCCACCTTCCCACTAGATCCAACTAATGCCCCAGTCATGTCTTTACCTATTGCCTAAAAATGTCACTGTGCAAATCTGTCCCTCTATACTGGGTCTGGCCGAGATGGAGTTAACTTTCTTCATAGGGGGCCATATGGTGCTGTGTTTTGGATTTCAGAACTAAAATAATGTTGATAACATTCTGATGTTTTGCCTATTGCTAAACAGCGCTTGCACAGCATCAAAGCCTTCTCTTTTTCCCATGCTGAGCAGTACCGGCACAGCATCAAGGCTTTCTTTTTCCCCACTGTGTCCCATCACAGCAGGTGGGCTAGGGGCTGGGCAAGAAGTTCGGAGAGGACACATTTGGGCAGCTGACATGAACTGGCCAAAGGGACATTCCATACCATATTACGTCATGCTCAGTAATAAAACTGGGGTAGCAGAATAGGAAAGGGCAGCGGGTTGTCTTCAAGGTGGCCGTCACTCGGGGACTAGCTGGGCATTGGTCTGCTTGTGTGAGGTAGTGAGTGAGCATAACTTGTTTCTTGTCCCATTTCCTTCACTTATTAAACTGTCTTTATTTCAACCCATGAATTTTCTTACTTTTGCTCTTCCTATTTTCTTTCCAATCTGACTGGTGGTGGGGAAGAGGTGTGGGGAGCAAAGAAGCATCTGTGTGGGTGCTTAGCTGCTGGTCAGGGTCAACCTACCACACCTTCAAACACTGATTTACTGAGTTACATGGTTTATGCTACCACAGCACAGGGGGATGAAAAGGGGGAAGAGCAACACATTGCTTTAAAGGGCCATCATTCTTTTATGAGTTTTTTCTACAATCTTCTGTGCCATCCAACAATCACCATGTATCTGAAGTTAAAACAAACATTCCACTTCAGTCACAGATTTACCTGCTCTACAATAGATGCCAGCCTCCCAAGGGCCAAGCCACACTCATCCCCTCGAGTCACAACAGCACTACCCAGCTTCACTACAATCCGCTTTGCATGCTTCAGCTCACTGCGGTGTGCAAATGATTTTCCATGTGCACGGCTGAGTGGCATGGTGATAAATGGGATGTTGCTCCAACAACGGATGGATTCATTCCTTAATCTTTGGTTATGGTGAGGCAGATCTGTGGTGAAAGAAAGAAAGAAAGAAAAAAAAAAAGCAGTTTTAAGTGTTTCATTCAGACTTTAAGCCCTTGAAATCATGTAACATTTCCTCCCTTTCCAAGGCTAAAGCTCACAATACACACTTCTCAGTGACTGGGAATGAGAAGCTAACTTTCAAGTCACCAAAATAAAGTGAGAACCAATGATATCTGAGCTGCACTAACTATCCCTAAGGTATACAAGGCAGTATCCCATGTGTCACAGAGCTTTGACTCTGGGAATCTAGAAGACCAAACTGAAGGACACTGTAAAAAAGCCCGTACATAGAATCCATAGAATAGCTCACATACAGCTCGCATCAGAAGTAAAAGTTTAAAAAAAAAAAAAGTCCTTTGCCTTGCTTCATTAGACACAGTTAGAGAATTTTCCTGTCTGTAGTAGTGCAGAAAGCTTGACCGTTAGGAAAGAAAAGAAACACAGCTTTTACAACATCTCTAAGTCAGGTATTTTTGTACGTTGCTCTATTAGGGGCAGCAGAAGGGGGATGACAGACATACAACCTGGAAGTCACCTTCCTATAGGATAAATAGGCATTGGAGGGAGAAGGTACAGTCACAGCATTACTCAGGTAAGATGCAAGATACATAAGGCTGGCATTTCACCCAAGTCAGTGAGCTAGGGAACATTTCTCAGCAAAATCTTTGTTTTCAAAATGCCTGCAAAGGACAGTAAGACCACTATCAGCACAGCAGATTAAAGAGAATAGTAACTATTAAGGTACAATCACAAGGAACAGTCCGGATTCTTTCTATTTGACAAAGAGGTGGACCCAAACACATAAAGTCCCAGAGTTAAGCTGAAGGAATGAAGGCAGATGGATAAGCACTTCCAACATACTTTATATGAAGTTTTGCACATCGTAGTGAATTGTGTCTGAAGAAGGAGTCGCGCAGATAAGAACCTGCAACCCAAATTTGTCAACTGGAAAATTAATATAATATGGATAAGCTGTATTACTTGAAAAAATTTGAAACCACATTTCCTTATCCTCCATCTAGTTCTTCTTGTATTACTATTCAGAAACTGCTTTAAAGCAGGTCAACAGTCTCAAAAATACCAGTATAGCAAAAGAGAGAACACTTCTGATGCAATTACAGAAAAAAATGGCTACTGACACGACACTCTGGGACCAAAAGTGCAACTTAGTCAAAAGATGGCACACGTTCATGGAAATATTATGGAGATCACCATACTGGATGCTATGGAAAGACATTTAAAGAACAATGCAATCATCAGGCACAGTCAACATGGGTTGACAAAGGGAAAGTCCTGTTTAACTAATTTGATATTCTTCTATGATAAGGTCACCTGCCCAGTGGATGAAGGGAAGGTAGTGGATGTAGGTTTTTTTTATTTTAGTGAGACTTTTGATACTGTTCCTCACAGCACCCTGCTGGACAAGTTGTCCAACAGTGAGATGAGCAGATTCACAGTGCGCTGGGTGAAGAACTGGCAGGACAGTGGGGCTCAAAGGGTTGTAGTGAATGGGACTACACCTGGCTAGCGACCAATCATCAGCAGTGTTCCTCAGGGCTCAATCCTAGCGCCAGTGCTGTTCAATATATTTATCAATGATCTGGATGCAGGAGTTTACTGCACCGCTAGCAATTTTGCTGATGATACTAAACTGGGAGGTGCTGTTGACTCTCCAGGGACAAGAAGCCTTGCAGAGGGATCCAGATAGATTGCAGCATTGGGCAGTCATCAGTGGCATGAAATTTAACAAGTCCAAATGCTGGATTCTGCACCAGGGACGGAGTAACACTGGGCACAAGTATAGACTGGGAGAGGAGTGGCTGGAAAGCAGCCCTGCAGAAAGGGATCTGGGGGTGCTGGTTTGCAGAAGGCTCAATAGGAGCCAGCAGTGTGCCCTGGCAGTCAAGATGGCAAACCGCATTCTGGGGTGCATCAAACACAGCATAACCAGCCGGTCAAAAGAGGTGATTATCTCAATGTATTTATCATTGCTGTGGCCTCACCTTGAGTACTGTGTGCAGTACTGGGCCCCTCAATTTAGAAAGGATGTGAAGGTCCTTGAATGCGTCCAGAGGAAGGCAACAAAGCTGGTGACAGGGCTGGAAGGCATGTCCTCTGAGGAGCAGCTGAGGACTCTGGGTTTGTCTAGTTTGGAGAGGAGGCGGCTGAGGGACGACCTCTCTACAGCTTCCTGGGGAGGGGACCTGGAGAGGGAGGTGCTGATCTCTTTTCCCTGGGATCCAGGGACAGGACGCATGGGAATCTTTCAAAGCTGCACCAGGGGAGATTCAGACTGGACATCAGGAAACATTTCTTTACTGAGAGGGTGTTCAAACACTGGAACAGGCTTCCTGGAGAGGTGGTTGATGCCCCAAACCTGTCAGTGTTTAAGAGGCATTTGGACAGTGCCCTTAATGACATGCTTTAGCTTTTGGTCAGCCCTGAATTGGTCAGGCAGTTGGACTAGATGATCATTGTAGGTCCCTTCCAACGATTCTAGTCAATCCTAACCAATATGTCATCTGAAGATGTAGAGGCTTCTTTACAAATCAGTAAACTGAATCCTATGCGATCGTCAGAGTTATCTGTTTCTATTTAATCTGTTCAGTCTCTCTGATTTTGATGCTCTATAATATAAAATAGATTAATTTATAACCTAAAGTGACTATTCTGGGTGTTACTTCTAGTGGAGAAAGACAGGAATGAACATAGTGCCACAGAAAAACTTGTCATTAAACAATGTTTTAAATAAGTCATACACATGTTCATACATGCAGAAGCAGCTTAAATGATTAAACATAACTGAAGGTTGCACTAACATGTCACACACATAAAAGTAGAAAATGGAATTTGGAGATGAGTTTCATTTGCCCCTCATTTTCATGAGGGAATTCTTGTGACTGTAAATAAGGCCTACAATACATATGAAAGAATAGGTGAAGGAGTCCAATTTAACTGTTCTTTCCAGCATTATACATTACTGTATAGTATTTGCCTATTCCACACAGTATTACCAGAAAGGAGTAAAAACAATTTATTCCCAATTCTCTTGGCTAGAGCTTCAGGGTTTAGAAGGTTCCAAGGCAGCAGCTGTTGAGGGATAACCAGTACCTGAAAACAAACCGCTTATTCTTTCAGAAAAACAAGGAAAAAAGATGACGATTCTAGAACAAACAGAGAATTTCATTCATCTCCACTAAAGTCCTAATTGCTAACCTTGCTCTATGACTGCATAAACCTATCTTTTTTAGTTATTTTAGACTGGACTGAGATGTGACATCATCTCCCATGTTACATATGCAAAACATTTCTGGTGATGCAAGCCCATTAACTTGCTTCATATGCAATTACGGAGAAACTGATATAGCCATCCAGTCAACTTTTTGGACAAATAGGTTTTAGGCATTTAGTTTTCTTATCCAGTACCTTGTCAACAGTTTCCCTTCCTTAATAAAGGAGGGGAAACATATGAAAAAGACTTAAGTATTTGGCACTGCAGATCCTTTTACGTAACCTGCATGAGGCTTGCTTCTAAAGAAGCAGAATTTCAAAGTACACACGAGCTGAACAGGATCACAACAGAAACAGTGGAGAACAAAAGAAAACTGTGATAAACGCTCAGTCCAGCTTTAGCATGCAACTGATGAAATAACCAGAGTTGCTCCAATACCGGATACTGACTACTGTCAATACTAAGGAATAATTTTCATAGTGTTAACTATGAGTAGTTTACTGACTTTAGAAAACGCAGAATATTTAGAAATACTACATATGCAGAAGTCAGAGCTATAGCTCAGAAAAAACAAGTTTAGTATTTTCAAGATTTCAACATTTATTAATTCATATAAATATCAACAAAAGAGAACTGTTAACACACAGACCAATGGGAAATTAATCTTGCATACAACGGTAAACAGTTAATCTCTTGATCTAATACACTCCATCTATCCTTGCCTTCTCTATTTCAGACCACTAATCAAATAGACAGTGAATGGTTCTCTCAAGTTAGGTTTTCAGGAAACAACTATTTACAGGGCACCTATGTATTTACACCCAGGTGTCCTGCAAGCATCTTTCCACTTTTATCTAAATGGAATAAACTTGAGCTTCACACCTTGCTTTGCTCAAGACATCTGTGGGCTGAAAATGCAGATGGGGGAGCAGGCATAATCAGATCTTGTTTTCCAGGAATGTATGAGGTTGAAATAAAGAACTTCTACAGTAGCAGTACTTTCACAACTGATTTTTTTGCTTGAAATGCACGTCAGAATGAAAAAATACACCCTCTCAAACATCCAGCTGAATATTATAAGGGAGAAAGTAACATTAAGAAAGTAGAGCTTCAACTGCAGCTCACTCCAGAGGTTGTAAGTTTTGAATTATGTTAATGAGGTGATTTTCCTTTCAACATAGGAAAGAGCATAGGCATGCCCAGACACATACTGACCAACGTTATTAGAAACGTGTGCTTTCTCTCATACATACATAAACGGGAAATGGCTGCGATGGCATGTGGCGATAACACAAAGCACCATCCAGGGGAACGGACAAGAGGGCTCAGAGCAGCTCGACACAACATTTTGAGATGCCTTCTGCAAATCAAGGGTATCTGTAAGTTAAAAGGAAGCGGGGGGGAAACCAGTTAAATATCAGTGAATTTCCATCTATGTTTCTCTCCTCACCCAGCCCCCCATCCCAACTCCTTTGTCCTGCACAGTCTTAACACAATTTCCTTGTGCAAGACAGCCCGCTCTCTCTATTTTGCAGAATTCTCAGACTGTGACTTAGAAGAACTGAAGTCCCCTGTTCCCTACCTGCTGGCAGATCATTATTAAAGGTCAAGAACAAAACATGGTTCCCCAAGAAGGGAAAAGACTACTAGTGAGTGTACCTACAATGGAGAAAAGTCATAACTTTGTCCACAGAGAAGCCTGGAAGAAAAAAAACCAAAAATGTAGAGAGGTTGTATCATCCAGACTTCTCCATACACCCCACAACAGAGCATCTACTATACTTCTCATAGGGGATCTCAGCCCTATTCAATATAGAAGATATGCTGATTCACTTTTCCCTGCGCACTACCAAATGACAAGATGTTAACCGTGATTACAAGTAAGGACACCAATTTTCAAGGTATTTGGCATTAGTTTCTCTTGACTGAACTTGTAAACACTCAGGATTCTTGTAACTCAAAATCCACTAGAGCAAGTACCCAACAAACAAGAGATACACAATTAGCAACTTCCTATGACAGGTCTAGTTGAAGTAATGCAACTAGTATCACAAAGGAAACAACGGAGATTAACAAGAATCCAGTTCTTCCAGACAGTGCGTAAGCCATGAAACCTCTCCCTCCCCTTTTACAAAATTTTGCTTCCTTTACTTGCTTTCAATCTATCCCTCTGCACCATTGGATCAGAGCAAACAACATTGCACAAGCTGTGGTAGGGAGAAGGTAGTGAAGAAAGGACAAGGAGAGCTCATAGTAACCGCATTGGAAGACTGCTATTACAAATACCATGACAATTAGAGCACCTGGCAGTTCTGGCATACGTGTACATGAACACTTGAAGTTGCTTCACTACCCTGCATCAGTGTATTATTATTATACACTCATTACAATCCTTACCAAAATATACACCTCTATATAAGACGAGGGAGACACCAGCAGATAATGGTTCTCCTGTTTTGTCTAGTAAAGATTACATAGCACAGCATTTTAACAATATTAATCTGCAATGTCCCTCCAGTTCTGTATTTCATCTGATATGGCAGTCTTGACCACTGCCAGGATGAGAAAGACAAAGGACTCTGAGCAGATGATACAACTGAGCAAGTAATCCAAGTTTTCTTCTCATAACAGGGCAAGCATAAAAGGAGCTGGTGAACAGTACCGACTAGACATTCCCTCCTTCAACCCTTACCAGGCACCTCATGCACCTGCCTCTGGGGGGTACAACAATTCCCACTGTTCATATGTCTGGCTGTTTGACTCTTCCACCTTGACGTTCACCCTGGCATCTACTGCCAGCCATCATCTTCCCAGTAGGATCTTAGTTGTGTCTCAGGGGGATGCTCAGAGTCCAGCAGCTCCTGACAACCTGAACTGGCAAATGGCAGGTCCTTTATCCAGAACCCCTTCCTCCACAATTATCCTGAGTGGAACTGCCTGTTCCTCTTCAGCTCCCTTCACAGACCATCTCCCTTAGGGAACAGAACCAGGCACTCTACCTGAAGTTTCACCCCCAAACGTTTCCTGTTACAACCTCTCCTGTAGGCCTTCGACTCCCACTACAGTAATAATCTTCACCTGGTGTTGCACTGTCATTAGAATACAGACCCTTACTAACTAGATCAAGCTCTGTTGTCTCCTTGGTTGCTCCTACTGATCTGCCAGAGAACCACTTCACATTCTCACTGCAGGGCTGCTTGCAACTAAGAGCAACCTTGACCTTCTGGAAGACTTCCTCCTGTTTCTCTTTGCCAGAGACAACTTTGCTAAGAGTGAGCAGACAATGAGGAATGAGAAGTGGCAGACAGCATGGACCTTTTGAAGGAAAAAGACTAGAAAGAAATAGCACATTTTTGAAACTAGCTTGTGAGAAAAGGCAAGGAGACTAAGTTAACAAGAAGACAGAAATGGAAATTTTAAAGCAGCAACATACATCAAGAAAAGAAAAAGAGACACATGAAATGGGAATGATGCTGCCAGAAAGCACAGACAGAGCACAAGGCACACTGAAAATTACAAGCTTTCTTTCAGGCTAGTCCGAGGCTGCAGAACTACTCCTTTCTCTCCTCCCACTCAATCAAGGATTTAAAGTTAATTTCAATCCTCATTTTCCAGTCCACTCCCATTTCCACCATTTACATACCTGGGTTCTGGTCTTCAGTAACAAACCAAAAGAAGGTACATAATTTAAAAAAAAAAAAAAAAACACAAACAAAAAATCCCTCTGCCTTACTTGGAGGGGAGGAAGCAATAAAAAGAAATGCAAAATGCATTATTCAGGTATTTCTCCAAGACTCTAGCATCAGCTTAAAAAATTTTTTTTTTCATTACCAGGAAAACCTACTCCTTCTAAACTAGTCTCCAAAACTGACTCTTAAAAATATCATTCTCCCATCATCTGTTTAAATAAAAGTTATCCTTATATTATCACTCATAGAAAGTGATACTATTGGCTAGCTTTCATGAATTTATCATCTTCACAACAGCTGTTAAGTAGCACAGTACGTTTATATTCTGTTCCAGATCAGCGTAAAGAGACTCAGTCACCTTTCCAAGCAATCAGAAGTCTCAAATGCTAAAACTGGTGCCTTTAACAACAATCTATAACACCGATTTTTCAGTCTGTGGGCTGCAGGCCCATGGGATGTCCACAACTATTTGCAGTGAGTTGATAGAATAAAATTAAATAAACTTTTTTCACAGTTTTATATATAAATATATGTTATATATCTCAACTAAGCGTTAGGACATTCCACAAGTGAAAAAAAATCTGGAAACCAAACTCCTATAGAAAGAGCTATACTGTACTACACTTAAGCAATTAAGCAGAGATAAACCAAGTTCCAAGGAAATGTACACAATTTTAATGAAGTAAGTCTTTACCATAACACAAATAAGTCCTCTGTAACATTCAGGGGGTTTTGTTATTTAAACAGCTTTGTTACCTTACCAACTAAAACTTTTGTAAGAAAAAAAAAAAATTCTGCAGTTCTTAGTGCAAACTCAAAACCAAGAAACCTTCCCAGAAGGAAGCCAGTTCAGAAGAACTGACTAAAATAAAGCTTCAAATAACTTGTCTTGAGAACAGTTCGCACATAGCTTTGCCCAGGTTCTACAGAAGTTATACACAAAGAGAACAGGCAATTCAAAGCAACATGTACCCTGCAATTCTTTTCTACCAAGAATCCATTCCAGCAGGACAGTGTGGTCACGGCAGCCAGCATCTATCGGTGTTGCCTTGTGCAGCAGAATAAAACCCTGCCACTGGCCTATTAGAACTGTTCAAAATATCACTTAATACTTTCAATCTGAGTATCTCAAAAAATAGCATCTGCGGAGGCTCAGTATTGTTCCATTTTGTTATACCTTGTCTATAAATAAGTTAAGCAGCACAAGCAGGGCTGTACAGCAACAGCACTAGAGACACACTAGGGCCTCCAGCTGCCTGCCCGGAAAGGGCAAGCCGAGGAACCGAGCGATCCACACTAGGGGCAAGCAGCAGAACCCACTCAAGCACAGACAGGAAGTTTAGCTTAACAAAAATACAACGGCAGACATATTATTACTTGTTGCACGTTTATCAGTGACACCTACAGGTGTCACTCCTTGTCCGAGCACTTAGGTCCACCAGAATTTCCATACCTGACCCCTCCTGCT